AGGGCATGGGCTTTTAATATGGATTTTACATTATTGCCTCTGAGGTGGCCTTTTATTTTGGGGGCCCTTCTTATATAGGGTGGCCTTCTATTTTGGGGGGGGGTTTACTCCTTTCTTTTTGATGTTTCAGTAAAAACTGGAACAATTCAGAATACTGTTTTGCATAGCTCGAAGATGTTTTTATCAGATAGGGTCCATGTGGTCTTTTTATGAGAAAACTCGATAATAGGGTTTCTGGAAAACTTGACTGCTAAAAAACTAAGCCTTTAGTTTTTGGTCAGAAAATCCAGATCCAAAGTAGAGACAACCTTGCCTTGCTGCAGTGAATCAAGGGTATCGTCTACCCGGGGAATGGGATATGCATCCTTCACAGTAAGCGCATTAAGTTTGCGATAGTCCACACAAAAACGGAGAGTACCATCCGTTTTTGGGGCAAGAACAACGGGAGCAGCCCATGGGCTAGATGAGGATGAGATGACATCATCGTGTAACATGTTGTCAACTGCAGTTGATGCATGAGCTTGTTTAAGTGGAGCCATGCGGTAAGGCTGAGAGTTGGTAGGTTTTGCATCAGGATATGTCTGGATTTGGTGCCGAAAGAGATGAGTAGGGCCTGGGCGGTTGGTAAATACTGTCGGGAAACGCTAAATTAATTGCTTAAGTTGATGGCGCTGAAAAAGGTTGACACACTGACGATGAGATCCCGTGAATGGTGTATTATGCCCTTTGCCACTCGAGAAGAGAGGTGAACAGAGGTGATAAAGTAGGTTTGCATCAGTAAAATCAGTATTATTCAACTGCTGCGCTTTACTTCAACAATGCAAAACAGAAGAAATTAATCCTCGATTCTTAAATGTCACCAAATTTAGATTACCAGACATTTGGTATTGGTATTTTTTTGCCAGTGTGTTCCTGGCACATCACCCCGTGTATTTCTAGATGTGCAAATGCGAATCAAAGTGATGTGCAAGTTCAGCGTGCTTTGGGCACACCTTGTCTTTTACAGTGCAGCTCATAATCTGAAATTTTTATTTAAATTTCAACTTTTTTAAGGCTGCACACCTCGCGTTCACAAGCTAGCTTTAGAAAATCTAAAAAAGAATTTTGAGCAAGTTTTGAAGGGTTTTTGAGAAACCTTCAGACAAATTTTAGCTTTGTTCACTATTATCGTTACATCCGATATTTCGTCTAGCTTTTATCAGGTGTGATGCATAGAAACGACTTTATCTTGATCTTCACAGATTTTCTAGGGTTTTTTCATGGATTTTTGACGTTTTACTATTTTTGCCCAAAATGCCATATGGTGCCCAAATAAGTCGAAAGGTGTTTTTGCCTATGGAAATTAGCGACCCGTGCCGACTTCAGCTAATTACCGTTCCCGAATAAATAATCATGCCCGAAACAGTCAAAAGATGTTTTTGGGCACGGAAATTAACAAACCATGCCCGAAACAGAATTCGTCTTAAAGCGATTCTTTGCTGAATTAGATTTACATGTTGAAAATTTAAACGAAGATTTCGAACAAAATACGTAATTAGACAAGCAATGTATGAAGATATCAAGTTATTATTGAAAGATGGTTGGGATTCTGCTCGGTTTAAATTTTGGACATGTTGTCATTTAAACACAGAGTGTGGCATTTAAAAGATCCGATATTGATGCATCTGTGTTGTGACTAAATATTTGAGGTTTCCCGTATATTCGCGATGTACAAATATCTGTTTCAGATTAGGGAGACATTTGTAGACACATCTATAGTTCGACCAGTCTACTGTGTGTTTCGAGTAGTTTTCGAAAGTGTCTTTTATATTTTTCAGTTGTTTATTATATGTCAATGAGATAATCTTTTTACGATTATATTTCTCCATGATCACTTCCTTATCTTGTATTTTCAGTAATCCTTCTCGGTTTAGTTGATCGACTTTTCTGATTTTTGAGAAAACTAAATTTCCGTTATGACCGTAGGAAGATTTCTGCATATGCTTTCCATTTTTCTCTAACATCTGAACGTATACGTTTGGCCCGATGTACCAACGTAGTAGACATATTTTCAATAATGTATCTCGGATGAGTGGAATTAGGTGTAAAACTACCAGCTAAAGTTAAATTAGATGAAATTCGTGAAATACTTTCAAAATATCGAGCGTTTCAAAATGTAAGTGGATATCATTTCATATTTTTAAAGATAAGTAAGTAATTCCGTTCTATATATTTTACTCTATTGTCTAGGTTACAAAACTTGAGATGCTGGCGATAAAATATACCGTCAAGATTATATGCTGTCCTAAATATCATTGTGAACTAAACGCAATTGAAGGTCTTTGGTGCAATGAAAAGGCATTTGTTCGTTCACGTACAGATCAAAGTTTTGAAAAAATGATAAAACTAATATCGGATTCTCGGACACATTTTGTCGGAGGAAAAATTGCATTAAAATTATTCCGGCGTTTCTGGCGTTCAATCGAAGCATATTCGCAAGGTCAGACATATACTGATGTATTAAAACAGTTTTTCAGTCAACTCTGCAAAACATCAGTTCAATCACATCGTAGAATATCAAATACAAACATAAACGAACATTAATGAAGATATATTTTCTATTGCAATACTTTTATTCTGCACGTTTTCGTTGATATTATATAGAAAAGCATGGTGACAGATTAATCTGTCGATTAAAGATCATGAAATCTCGATTGAAATAAGAAAAACTGTTCTTTCAAGAAAAGGTTTCCAGAGACCTCCTGAAGACCCTCTGGCGATCTAGAAAGTATGCCCGTTGGATTTGTCATCAGTTTTTACCTATGTGAACAAATTTTCACTTGGTTTGAATGAAAAATAGGCATTTTATTTAAAAATGACCTTCCCATTTGTTTTATGATACCAATAAAAGCAATTTTTCTCAACACAGGAAAGAAAAGAAAAAAAAATGGTCTTGTAACTTTGTAACTGGTGGTATGATGAGTCGGATGAGATAAAATATTTGGCTCCATCACGTATGCAGAAAAACTAGATAGGATTACAAAATCGACCTATACGCGTCTCGTTCGACGGATTCGAAGCGCCACCAACAATAGAGTTTTGAGTCTAGAGTCGATTTAATGACTTGTCTGTACTCAGTTTTTGATGCTGAATTTGAAAAAGTTATTTTCAGAAGCCGAAAAAATGAACAAAGTAGAAAACTTTGTACATTTCGAAAAAGGTGTGTTTTTCTCGAAAAATGACATCTTCGCAGTATTTCGTATTTTTCGATCGGAAGGAAGTATTTGCTAAGACTAAAAAGCAGTTTTTCGCGATCAGCAGCTCACACTCTATCAAATGGTGTAAAAAAAAGCAAAAAAAAAATTTCACTCGAAATTCGCATTGCCGGCACCTTAATAATGTAAAAAGAGCTGATTGCCCTAACTTTATTTGTAGATAGGAACTATTTTCCTTAGCAAATTTGGATACTTTTGCTGCACCCTCCATAATGGGGATATTTGTATAAAATGACTCAATGTCCGTTCTAGCAAAATATATGACATGTGTGGACAAAGTGTCTAAAAACGAATTGACGAATCGCAACTTTTAAGCGTAAAAATGATGCAACAATTCGCGTTTTACCCTTATTTTGCGAATTCGTACGGAATTGATGCGAACTGTATCGAATTCGTACGGATACTCTTAAAAAATTTAACGAATTCTTCTTGCGAATTCGTAAACAGAGAATAGATCAAACACGATGCTGATCAATTCGCAAATAATTCGTAAAATTAGTTTATGAATTCATGTTCACTGTTTTTGGAACTAGATTGATTCGTAAA